AAAGTTACTAAAAACTGTCAACTAGGTTTGGAAAGGAGTCTGAGGCACTTCCAGAAGGGTATGTGAAGCCCTGCACTAAATGCTCCTGGTTTAGACACTGCTGAGTCAATGTCTGCTATGCACTAACATTCATGCTGACCACTATTAAATATAAAATTGTATTCCTGCCATGTTTCCTTGGATGGGTATGGACAGCATTGTTATCACCTCCAACAGTCACGTTGACAATTACTGGGATCCCTCCCCATCCGCAAGGCACCACAGTTTTTCACTAGCCCTGACTTCAAATCTGCAACTTTACTGCTTATCACCTCTAGGCTGGGATCATATCAGGAAATCAGAGAAAGCATTGCTTCTTACCTGCTTACATATGAAAGATTTCATGAGGGGCATCACATCAGGAAGGTGCTTACCCACCTGTATACCAAGTAAGATAAGTGCTAAGTGAACAGGTGCTATAAGATTTAAGTTAGTGGGAAGGCCCAAAACCCTAGAGCCACTGTTCTCAACTGGAAATGACTCTGTACCCTGCCTTACCCGCACACCTCCCCCATCCCCACCATTTGGCTACATCTGGAGAGTTTCTGACTATCATTACTACTATTGGCATCTAGCAGACAGAGGCCAGAAACACTGCTAAACAGTCTACAACGCAAGAACAGCTCTACACATAGAATTAGTGAACCCCAAACAGCAACAACAGCCCTACTGAGAAACCCTGAACCAGAGCTTCATCAGGGTATCCCCCTACCCTGGCAGGTGAACTCCATCTGCCTCTTGTCTGCATTCATCCCTCTCCCCCTCTCCTCCAATTTACCTTAGCTACTCCCTGCTGTGGCAGTCAAAGCTGCTGTTTGGTACGCCCTACATCCTTGTTTGGCTAATTCCTAAGTTACCCAAGTTCTTACTTTCTCCCCCAGTCTTCCAACCCTCTGGTGTTCTCTTGTAGTTATCTTCCTGGGCTGTACCCACCTCCACTGGGCCTGAACTCTGTGTAGGAATGAGCCATGTTTCAGGCTCCACCAAATCCCTAGTCCGTTTCCCACCAAGATACCAGATCATTAAGTAATTGTGTATGAAAGCACAGGCCCTCTTGTGCCAGGCCCTGTTAGACACCAAATCACCACAATTCTTTTTTTTTTTTTTTTGAGACAGGAGCCTCAAGCTGTCCCCCTGGGTAGAGTGCCCGTGGCATCTCAGCTCACAGCAACCTCCAACTCCTGGGCTCAAGCAAGTCTCCTGCCTCCACCTCCCAAGTAGCTGGGACCACAGGCGCCCGCCACAATGCCCGGCTATTTTTTGGTTGTAGCCATCGTTGTTTGGCGGGCCCGGGCTGGATTCGAACCCGCCACCTTGGGTGTACATGGCTGGCGCTTTAGCCACTTGAGCCACAGGCGCCGAGCCCACAATTTAATTCTAATAGGCTTCGGAAGTTGGCATCTTCTCCACTCCACAGATGGGAAAGCCAGAGAACGCCCACAAGATCCCTAAGCAAATCAGAGCAAGAGCTGGGCTCAAAGCCTGAGGCAGCACTTTTCAGGACACTTTCTGAACCTCCCACACTAACTGCACAGCCAAGTCTGAATTCAGGAGGGGTAGGGTGGGTCTGGGAAAGCTTTAAGACTTTACTATTCTAAAGAAAAGATGAAGAGAATTTTCCTGATGATGCGATCTTGTTGCTGATCACTAACAGACCTGCATATTAAGAATTTGAGGCTTGGCACCTGTCTGTAACCAAGCGGCTAAGGTGCCAGCCACATACAACAGAACTGGCAGGTTCGAATCCAGCCTGGGCCTGCCTGACAACTACAAACAAAAAATAGCCAGGCATTGTGGTGGGCGCCTGTAGTCCCAGCTACTTGGGAGGCTAAGGCTAGAGAATCACTAAGCCCAGGAGTTGGGGGTTGCTGTGAGCTGTGATGCCACACAGCACTCAAACCAGGGCAACAGCTTGAGGCTGTCTCAAAAAAAAAGGGTGGCGCCTGTGGCTCAAAGAGTGGGGTGCTAGCCCCATATACCGGAGGTGGTGGGTTCAAACCCAACTCTCATCAAAAACTGCAAAAAAAAAAATTGAAACTTGGCTGGGTGCAGTGGCTTACGCCTGTAATCCTAGCATTCTGAGAGGCCCAGGTGGGAGGACTGCTCGAGCTCGGGAGTCTGAGGTTGCTGTGAGCTGGGCTGAGGCCACAGCTCTCTACCCAAGCAACTGAGCAAGATTTTGTCTTTAAAAAATAAAACTCAAAACTTCTGTTCTTCAATCCAGGGGTATGCATATATTTGCAACTGAGGGACTAGGCAGTCTCAAAGTTAAAAAATATCTTGTGATCTCCCCCATTAAGCACCAGGCTACTGCTAGACCTCCAGATGACAACCTTGAGGGCCTAACTACACAGAAAATTAATACCTCTTTAAGAGACTAAATGGTCCTTGTGTGAGGACCTTTTAGCACTAAGAGCCCTCCCAGGGAATCACATCCAATCTGCTGCACAGAGCAAGTCCCTGGAGAATGTCCCTCCTGGAAATCCCATCTTAAAAAGGCCCTGCCAAGCTATCCATTTACTAGCACCATGCAGATCTGAGAACCTCAGAAGCCCAAATGATAGGAGGCATCTGACAGGTAAGCAATCTTCTAGGTTTCAGATGCATACCGGGAGTGAAAGTACTGCTTCTGCTGCCACTGACTTCCCAGGCTTTCCCATGAGGTCTTGGACATAAGGCTCTGCTACTATCCACAACATGGAAGCAACCTCAACTCAAATGAGACAGATGTTCAACTCAAATCAGACAGATGACTTGCCCTCATGATAGTAATATAAGCGCTGCCAAAGCAAGCATCATTGTGACATTAAAAGGACTCCAGGAACCGTGCTTCTCCCCATGACTGTGGCCCCACTGACTCACTTCAGCATTTAGCCGCTCACGACAAAATTTCAATGTGTCTTGATCCTGTGCTTGGTGGTGGTCAAACACACTGCTCTGAAGTCTAGACCTCCTAAGAGGTTTGGGGGATTAATGAATTACATTACTAAGTTTACCTTTTTCAGAGATGGAATGAGGATGCTTCCAAATAAATTTTCACTCCTTATAAACAACAGAGGTATTTCAGCAGGTAATCTTCTCTGGGGCCGAGGGCACTGAGCTACTTCTCAGCATATCTGGGACCCAAAATAGGCCAAGAAGCTAAGTTCCTCTGTTGACTTAACTACAAGTCCAAATACTAGGTCAAGAGACCAGGTGCGTTTTGTTTTATTTGCTGCTGATAACTGGTAACACGTTCTTACAAATAACTGATGGGCTTCTCTGAAGCCCAGAGGGGAGGATTTTAAGAGCGTGCTGCTCTATTCCTGGCCCAAGTACTAATCTATTCAACACCAGAGAAGTCACTCCCCCTCCTGAGAATGGAGAACTTATACCAATTAAATATTCTCAGAAGCCTTTCCCGTATTTTCTGTTAAAGAATCCATGAATCTCAGCTTGTCAGGAGGCTGAGGCAAGAGAATCACCTAAGCCCAAGAGCTGGAGTTTGTTGTGTGCTGCGACACCACAGCACTCTACCCAGGACCCAGGACGCCAGAATAAGACTCTGTCTCTTAAAAAAAAAAAAAAAAGAAAGAAAGAAAGAAAAGAATCCATAACATTCCTCTGTGAAGGAAATCAAGAATGGAAAAACAGGGAAGACTTTTATGTAGTAAGTGCAACTTTTTTTTTAGGAGTATAGATTTAAAAATGGAGGCCCAGAATGGAAAAGCAATATGCTTTAAAAAAAAAAAAAAGACAGGGAGAAACAGACTTAAGCCTTCTGGAAAGATGACTTCAGATTAATTCTGCCAAGTCCATGTTCACCTCTAACCTGCCTTCAGGTACAAAATCATCACATCGGTTCCCCCACCCCTATTTTCTTGCCACACATTTTTTTTTTTTT